GCATCAGCAAATATATTTATGGCTATAACTTCTTGTTAAATCGGTCTATAATAATGAAATTTGGCATACGGACACATAATAACTAACTGGGGGTATTTCCAAAATTTTAGTTCGAAATTCCAAGAATTACGGGAGTTACGATTTGCGGGGTAGAGGGGGGAGGGAGGGGAATTCCAAAATATACATTTTCTGCGTATTCACATAAGGCATCTGGGACTAAAATTTGGTGTTCCTAGGTCTTATAGTCTCCGAGATATAGGCGATTATACGAATGGAAAATCGGGAAAACCCCCATAGGGGGGAAGTGGGGGGGGGGGAAATCAAAAAAATAAAACAAACTCGTATAGAATACACACATAACGCATCTTCGTGCAAAATTTGGTGTCTCTATCTCTTATAGTCTCTGAGATCCAGGTGTTCATACGGACGGACAGACGGACAGACGGACAGACAGACAGACAGGGCTAGATCGACTCGTCTCGTCATGCTGATCAAGAATATATATACTTTGTGGGGTCTGCCACGCCTCCTTCTGCCTGTTACATTTTTCAGCTCCCGCAAACCTAATATACTCTTGTACATTTCATGTACAGAGTATAAAAAGCGGAGGGAAATCCTATACGACTTAGCTTAAAGAGCAGAAGATCATGGTTCACAGAGTCAAATGCTTTACTGAAGTCAGTGTAAACGACATCAGTCTGCATTTTTAGAATAAATGCTTCATTTACCAAGGAAGTAAATTCCAGCAAATTGGTCGTAGTAGACCGTCTCTTCATGAATCCATGTTGAGCTGGAGATATGACAGATTTACAGAGGTGCTGCAAAGTGCTGCAAACTATTTTTTCAAATAATTTTGGTATGGCAGACAACTTTGCAATTCCTCTGTAGTTTGAAATATCAGACTTACCACCCTTTTTATAAAGAGGAATAATAAAAGATTCTCTCCAAATAGTTGGAAAGATTGAGGAACCAAGTGACAGATTAAAAAGTTTAAGTAATGGTTGTAAAAGGGAACTAGAACACTCCTTGAGAACACAACTAGGAATGTTTTCTGCTCCAGGAGAGTATGAAGATTTTAAGGATTTGATAGCAGAGAGCAGACAGCTATCAGAAATTATGGGAGCGTAAATAGTGTGGGAAGATGAAATGCTATAAGGATAAGAGGTATTACTAATAGAGACAGAGGAATATGTTGATTGGAAGAAGTTGGCAAACAAGTCAGCAGCTTCAGAATCGTTGCTGGCTTTTTTGTCACTAAGGAAAAATGACGAAGGAAGGGAAGCAGATTTACGTTTAGAGTTAACGAACTTATAGAATTGTTTAGGGTCCTGTGCAAATTGAATCTTGCATCGGGCAAGGTAATTATTGTAACATTGTGAATTAAGGAGAGCAAAATTGGATTTCGCTAAAGAGTATTTATAGAAGTCAATAGATAGGCCCGACTGCTTATACTTTTTAAAGCATCTAGATTTAACGGGGGCAGAGGAAGGGCTGGGACTGCCGCACATTCTACAGCTCCTGAAGAAACTATAGGAGGTGGTGCCGACGTTTTAGAAGAAGCCCTTGTTCTTACAGGTTTAGATATATTAGGCACAGGAGGAACTACCAACGGGGCCAACATAACATGAGCCGGCGAAGGCAGAGGGGAAATTTCAAATAAATTTCCAGGCGAAGTAGACAATGAAATTGCCGGCGACACATCTCCATTTAATAGCGAGGGAATCGGAGAAGCTATCTGAGCCGAGCTAGGTGGCACCTCTAAGAATTGAGGTTCAAGTCTACGCTTGGGAGGAGATTCGAACTTATATTTACTAAGCAAGTCGGTCCCTGTGTCAAACTCACTTGAGAGTTGCTTAGTAATTCTATGCAAGCTCAAAAATTTATTTCTCACATTGTCATACATACAAGAGAAATTAAATTGTATGTCTATGCAAACAGGGCATGACCATTTCAAACCACCACAACCTTTTTTAGGCGAGTAAATTTTATCAAGGTCACGACCACTTAGTCCAGCACACTTAATATGCATAAAATTCTCGCACAACCAACAACTTGTTGTTCGGAATCAATTGCATCCTTAATTGTGCATGACTTATTGCAGCACGACATTATGACACGAGCAAGTAGAGGGTTAAAATTGTAAGTAAATGCAAGAGCACACAGAAATGAAATTACGGTAAATGAACAAGAATATACACTCACTGAGCGGCGATATATGTGGACTCTTATATTCATAAGAGCGAAGAGAGCAAGAGCAAAAAATAACACAAAATGCGCGGGAGTAGCGATGCACCAAAAACAAATTATGGACAGCGAACAAACGCACAAACCTTTAACACAGCTGCCGGGTGCCAAAGCAAAACAGGCAAAATAAATGCACAAACAACAAAACCTGAGATGACGCTGTTTATATTAAATCACATTAATTTACCCAAACAAATGAACGCAATAGATGCACAACTTCTTGCACTAAGCACAATATTAATACTCTAGAAATTGAGCACAATTTAATGCTTAAATTCAAAGAGTAAACACGAAAAATTAAATAAATTTGCGGAGCACAGATAAAACACGTCGATTACACTCAACAGAAATCTCTCTCTCTTTATGCATATAATCATAAAATAATACATAGTACTACAGGCAGAACTCCAGCAGAAATATTTTTATACAATGCAGGTATAATTCATAATGTACAACAAAGAAAGGAACACAAAAGAATATGAAAGAGATCCCCGCTTTGTAATAGACAAGAGACCTCCTAAATCACGTAATCCTTTTAGATTCACTAAGAACGTCAATAAAGATTCGGATAAACACTTTACAGAAAATGTTCGAGGCAAAGAATATAGAAAATATAAAACACATTTTATGAGGAAGAAAATTATACACAATTCAAAATATAGGGAACAAAATGCTGAGCCCAATGATGATATCCCTACCACTGAATATAAATATAAATGAGGCCAACTCAGAAAAATGAAGGTAAAAATATATCTGAAGGGTATAAGCATAACACAACTTTCTAATTTACAAATTCAATTAAATAGATAAAACCGTAAAAACAACTAGCAAGATCATCAATTTTAAGCCCAAAGCTACTAACCATAAAACGGACCTCTATGCAAATTTAGAAAAGAATAAGTCTTGGAAAATAAAACCTCCGTTTTTTGCAGTAATTTACCCATTCAAAAATTTTAATGCAAAATAAACTCTAATAAATCTGTTCTTTTGACATACACAATCTTGGATTACTAATGAAAAAAAAAAAACTAGAAAAATAATAAATCTGTATAAATTGTCAAGAAGAAAATCATAGACTTTAAGAAACTTACATAATGAATTGTATAAAGAAAACTCAAAAGGAATATCATAGACGTTTAGATAAAAGAAGTTATGAAAACATAAAAAGGAAATTATAGACTTCAAGAAAACAACTAAATGAATTGTAATAAGATAGAACGCTACAGTCGAGCAAGCCCGACAGTAAAATAGCCTGTATTCTCCAAAAAAAAAAAAAAATTAAAAAAAAAAAAATTTTTTTAAAATTAAATTATTAAATAAAATGAATGAATTAATTAATTAATTGAATTAAATTAGAATACATGTTTATGTTCAGTTTTAACAGCATACATTTACCTATGCGTGTTTATATGCGTGTATGTATGCAGCACAAAGTTGAACCAAAGCAGCAACAACAACAACAGCTGCGGGCAGAGCTGCCGACAGAGCTGCAGGCTTTCTTCAGAATTGACCTATCATGATGAAATTTGGCACACGGACACATTAGTACTAACTGGATGTACCTACCAAAATTGATTTCAAAATTCCGAGAATTACGGAAGTTATAAGAAATAATACGAATTGCGGTTTGGTTATCCTAGCTCTTGTACTTACTGAGATCCTTGCGCTCATACAGACAGACGGACAGACAGACAGACGGACATGGCTATATCGACTCGTCTTCTCATCCTAATCAAGAATATATATACTTTGTGGGGTCTGCCACGCCTCCTTCTGTGTGTTACATACATGCGCACAAAACTAGTATAGCCTTTCACCCTTTGGGTACAGGCTATAAAAAGCAAAACATAAGAAAGTCATAGATTTAGCAAACCACAAACAATATGAATTATCCAAACACAATTTAGAAAACAAACAAAAAAATTTAAGTTAATTGAATTGTTAAAAAAATTACGCTGTAAATCAAGAAAAGAGAGAGAGTTATGTAAACAAAAAACTAAACAGAAACAAAATTTTCATCTAATTTGTGCCTAGAAGATAAAAAAAAAGAAAAAACACACCTTCAAATGTAAATGATTGTTATTACCAAAATCATAAAATCACGAAATTTGTTAAATTAACAGTGTAATGGTCGCCTGTATTAAAATTGATTTTTTACTTTTATCGCAGCTCGGTGCTACAAAATTAGCACTTGCGATAAAAAGGGCTAATATTGGTCCCAAAGCTTTAGGCCCCAGTCAGCTGTAGTACTCCGAAAGCTTTTGGTTGTACAAGTCTGGCTTTTGGCTGGAATACAAAGCGCAACCGACTTTACGTATTTCCCTAAAACCAGACTATAAAAGGCCTGCCCGTGCTTCAAACACTCTCTTCTTTTTCGACATACTTCTGGCCTATCGCCACGCCGTATCCACGTTCGCAGCCAAAATCCACATTGTCAAGATACTAACCTTTACTGCGGCTGGTCCTTCTAATGGCAACGTGAGTGTTCCGCGCTGAACATAATCAGTGCGCATCCGAGGCTAGATGCGAAGCAGTTGGCCTATCTATTCGGCATAAAGTGCAGCGAAGTTGTAGAGCCGCGGAGACATTATTATTTCCCACCCCAAAGACGCCGTTTCCATGATGAGATTCTGCTGATGTGCCGCCCGTTTCGAAGAGATCCAGCCGGTCTCCAAGCCGAGCCCCTGCTTGAAGAGAGAGCGCGAGAATCCATAGCATTTCTCAAAGCTTGCTCTCATGGTCGCCGCGCTATCCAGTCAGTTTCGCCTAATCGCCCACGCGATACGCCCACGGCCTCGTCCATTGCGGACACGTGCAAAGAGAAAAATTGAGCTACCGCCCTTTCCACGCCATGTGCTAGTGTCCCTTCAAAAGAGCCCAGAATCGAGCTTCTACAGTGCTTAAGTTTTCTTACCCAGAAAAAGTGCTACCAGTATTTATGAAAATACTATATAAAATTGAAAAAAAACCCAAAAAAAAAAAATAATAATATTAAAAAAAATCAGAAAATGTGAAAGATCAGAAAATGTGTGAATAGTGCATCCCACGGTACATATATAAGTACATATGTACAAGTTTTGTTGTTATATTTTTTTCGTCGTCTTCAAAAATTATTAGAGCGACTGCATTAGTTTTTTTGTTTTTTTTAATGGCCCCTGCCCAGATCAGTGTTTAAACCTAAAGAAAAGAAAAAAATTTAAACCAGAATACTTATAATGGCAAAACCCAAACTCTCCAAAAGACATGTGTAAAGTGAATCAAAGTCAGCATTAACTACTTCTATATAAACCCAAAGAAATACATTCAAGTAATGTATTTAAGTGAGTCAAAGCTGAATATCAAATAAAAATAAAATGAAGTGATCTAAGCATTTAACTGAAATGCATATACATATATGACTATCCATATATAGTATATGTATATAAATATATATATAGCATGCACTTACATCTAGCACATATTCCCAACAACAACGACACCATTGCTGGAGGGCCCTTCATCGCTGGAGTCTGTATGTAAGTTTATATTCCGTTTTGCTATCGCTTCTTATCTTGTTTGTAAGTCAAGGTTAAATTGACATATTTACGTGAGCGTATATATTGAGCTTTTGCTATGGCTCGACTTGAGTGTCAATTTAATTTCGGCTACTACTAATAATTTCTCTTATACTAACATGTCTTTGAGAGCGCCAAATATCAGTAAACTTCAACAAGCCAAGGTCAATGCACCTTGAATGCGCTGATCGCGGTACTGCCCTACCTCACTATCACTCATGTGAGCTTTTAGTTTAGTTTTGTTTTTTTTTCATTTAATTGCCTTTAAATAAACTGCTGCTGATTCGGGTAGCTAAATTTTGAATCGACGTTACTTTAACGCATAAAGAATAACATGAATATAAATAACATTAAGCGTATAAGCACACACACTTTCTGATTTCACAATAAAGTTTTTCCAATTTTTATACTCTGTACATGAAATGTACAAGAGTATATTAGGTTTGCGGGAGCTGAAAAATGTAACAGGCAGAAGGAGGCGTGGCAGACCCCACAAAGTATATATATTCTTGATCAGCATGACGAGACGAGTCGATCTAGCCCTGTCTGTCTGTCTGTCCGTCTGTCCGTCCGTATGAACACCTGGATCTCAGAGACTATAAGAGATAGAGACACCAAATTTTGCACGAAGATGCGTTATGTGTGTATTCTATACGAGTTTGTTTTATTTTTTTGATTTCCCCCCACTTCCCCACTTCCCCCCTATGGGGGTTTTCCCGATTTTCCATTCGTATAATCGCCTATATCTCGGAGACTATAAGACCTAGGAACACCAAATTTTAGTCCCAGATGCCTTATGTGAATACGCAGAAAATGTATATTTTGGAATTCCCCTCCCTCCCCCCTCTACCCCGCAAATCGTAACTCCCGTAATTCTTGGAATTTCGAACTAAAATTTTGCAAATACCCCCAGTTAGTTATTATGTGTCCGTATGCCAAATTTCATTATGATAGACCGATTTAACAAGAAGTTATAGCCATAAATATATTTGCTGATGCAGCGCTGCTCAAGCGCTGCCCGCGGCTGTTGTTGATGTTGCTGTTTGGTTGACTGCGAAAATGCTTACACAGACACGAATTGATGCGCATAGGCATACATACACTCACACAGACGCAATTGCTATGTAAATGTGCAATTATACACCCTTTACGTGAGTTCGAATACCGAGAGAGGTAAAATCGATCAAATTTTTTTTTTTATTTTCTTAATTTTTTTATTTTCTATAATTATTGTAAACATATGTACAGAGTATTTCAAAGTCGGGACACCCGACTTTAGCTTTTTTACTTGTTTTAGACTATAAAATATTAAGCCTATGTTCTTTGAATTAAATATAAATAACTACTTGGTTTAAATTTTTATTTTTTTTACTCATACTAAATAAGTTTTCTTCAATGAATTATACATATTATGTTTTGCATTATGATATGAATTTATCCTGCTAATAGATTTATAATTTGTTTGCTCGCCAATGTATATCTTTATAATTAATCATGCGTATTATTAAATTTTGTTTAAAATGAATTAGTAAAGTTTTATTTTCTGGTGACATGGTGACGTAAAACTAGCTAGAACATTTACTATAGGGGAACTCCATAAACAATACTCGCATTGGAGCTCCATGGTTGGGTGGGTATAGAACGCGAGCATCGACTTCCATCTCAAGATCTCGCAAAATAGCTAGACATATTTTCTAATGCAAGAAGCTATCACCTGTACCGTCAGTTTCCCTCTCCCATTTAATTGGCCTTTGATTTGTTTTAGTTGTTTTGTTGGAAGTAGGCCTTCCAAAATTTAGTTTCAGCAGGGACTCTATAATAATTTAATTTATGTACTTAGAGTCTTCAGGACACAGCAAACCCACCCCACCCCGAAAGAGCTAGGGTATCAAAGGGTCCCGACCTCCGCTGTGACACCGTCGGCTCACGCTATCTGGTTTTTGTTGTTTTTACATCTAGCCAGGATACTTCAATGACTAGTTTATTACAACAGAATGTAATAACCCAAATTTTTAACCCTCAACTTAGCCATCACCATAATAAGTATGTAAATTTATAAAATATCGGCTTCTGTGGACAGCAGCATTCTTAAAGAGGGGAGGAGTAACATAATCAGCAGCTTAACAGAAGCATAACAATAACATATGTAATAACATTATGTTATCGAAGCTATGTATACCAACTCTTGAAATTACGTCAGCAAAGATCACGCCATCAAGCTTTTTGGAACTGCAGCATTACAATATGAGCCAAAGTCATTAAAGGACATGGAGCTGTTTTGGAGAGCGAGGCTTTATCATATTTTAAGTCATTAGGCTTAAGTCAGTTTTAAGGTGACCTCTAAGAAGAAATGTACATATACAGGAAAATATATTAATGAAAAAAAATCAACACTTTTAATTATAGCATAACTAAATATAAGATAACGCTGCACCTTACAAACGCAGCATAGCATTAAGGGATGAAAAATAATTAAATAAAAGTATGCAGCTAGCTGCGGGTCACAATATTCTACATCGTAAAAGTGTACGCACGCGTTTTAGTGTAAACATTTTTTGGTCCTTCGAGTCTTAACAAAAAAAATGTGCAAAGTTACGAAAGCGAGCGTTTCTGTGGCTTTTAAACAACAGAAGGCAAAGTGATTTATGAACAAAAAAAAAAAAGAAAGCTTACATTTTTCGAGGAACAGTACGATCAACCAAAAACAAAACAAAAACACCTCCAACGGGTTAAGCTAAAAAAAAAATTTTTTTTAAATGCTATCTGAACAATTTCTCGCGCTGTTGAAGAAGCAGAATGCAGTGCGCGACCAAATTCTGGACGCCATAGCGAGGGGAGGAAATTCACCCATCGTGAAAAAGTTGGCCGGTGATTTCGCTGCCAGGAACACGACGCTATTGAAAATCGGTCTCGTCGATCATCAATATTTTATGCAACAATGGCAGCCGTCTGGACATATTTGGATTCGGAGGTGAAGGTCGAAGTTGCCGACCAAGCCAAGAAAGACGATCACCCGATGCCGCTGGAAAAAACTGACATAAGGGAAGTGCTGCACATCAGACCAACTACATCTAAAGGACTAGATGATAATCAGGCATATGCATCACAACGAAGCCCAAGTCCAGTCGACAGCATGGTAGACCTAGTGGATAAGAGAGCAGAAAAGGTAAGGCAATACATAAAAAGGGATTATGCCTGCCTAGACCACAGCGATTTGGAAGAGATCCTTGACCACAAAGTACAAATGAAGTTCCTGTGGTCAAAAGTTCAGTCAACGCTCAATAAACTCAAAAACTGGAGGTAAAATATGAAAAACTAGCAGGTATTGCCCGTCTTAACCCGGCTCAATATAATGTTTCCAATTGTATTTACTTTGTGTGTGCATAACCTACCCATATGTTTTCACCTTATAAACTTATAACTGGTAACTACCAGTAGGAAGGCATTTAAGGTATTTAAATGAACATCTTCTGTTCTTGACAAAAAATTGTTCAGTAGTCCGTTACATTTTTGTTCTTGCCAAACTATTTCGTTAAACGAACATGACCACTATAACTAATATTTTTTAAAGCTCGTTTTCCCCCCTTTGGAGCTAGAATTTTCCAAAAGCCTTTCTTAGTGTGCTCCTACACTATGATGGATACTATGAAAGGATACTTGAGTCCAAATTTCATCTTTTACCGTTTGGGCTGTGCGTTGATCATCAATTAGTCAAGACAAACTGTTTTATATATAGAGATAACGCAACGTTTTAAGATAGACTATGTGCAAAAAAGGGGAATAGTTATAAGGGTATATCCTAATCAGTGTTGCTAATTCCGCTTTTTTCCCGTCAAATCTGGTTGTTTTTGCAATGAGATTGCGGGAAAATATTCGAAATTGCGGGAAGCGGGAATTCTGGCTTTTTAAAAATACATTTAGCTTTTTTCCGCTTTTTGTAATTTTGCCAACATTTATGTAAAAAAAATGGAATCGAGGCAGCTTTATCGTTATTTTTTATCAATATTTGCCTATGTGTGGTTAATGATGGTAGTTTATTGAGTTATTTTTATGCAAAAAGTGAGTTACAATTACTAATTATGTATATAATGCTGCTCGTTTATGACAGTAGTGGCGCTCGCTTGTGAAAGTAGACCCTAGAGACTGCTGTGGTTATACTACACATGACATCACTAGTTTAAACCATCTTTATCTTAAAAATGCGCTTAATTTGTAAAGGTGGGAATGCCGAAAGAATGCAATGAAAAATGTCGTGATGTTTGGCTCAATTACAAAGA